CGCCCAGCGAAAGCGGCCTGGAACGAACCGGGAATCTGGGAACCTGGTGACCCAATCGGCCGCCAATTTTCGCCAAGTCTTTCAAGATCCGCTAGGAACCCTTTAGTGTAAGCACTGACTGAGGGATTCTGTGTAGAATTATATCCTTACGTACCTACTCACATTTCTATACATGTGTATATGTATATATATATATATATATATATATATGTATATATACATATATTCATACATATATATATATATATATAGATGTATCGGTCTCTCCATACATATACATACATATATATACATATACATATATATATATACGTGCGTAAGCAACTCTATTATTATCATTAGTTGTATATGCTATCTTGTTTAGAAGCTGGGGATCTGAAGAGGAAGGCGGTGGCGCGAAACTCGATGTGCGCGTGGTGCCAAAGGTGTGCCTGGCCCAAGGTGTCCTCAGGATTCCCCAGGGGGCGCCCCTCACGAGACCCCAGGGACTCCGACGAAACTTTAAGCCAGGACCACTTCCAATAACAGATCCCGAACGTCGACCCTAGATCCTCGACCCTTGTCACTCGTTCCTCGAACCTCAGACCTCGATCCTTGACCTTCGATCTTCGACCCTCGCTCGTGGACCCTTGAACCTCGACCCTTGACCCTCGATCCTCGATCCTCGACCCTCGGCCCTCGACCCTCGATCCTCGATCCTCAGCCTTCGATGTTCGACCCTCGATCCTCGACCCTGGACCCTCGACCCTCGATCCTCGACTATTCGACCCTCGATCCTCGACCCTCGATCCTCGACTATTCGATCCTCGATCCTCGACCCTCGATCCTCGACTATTCGATCCTCGATCCTCGACCCTCGATCCTCGACTATTCGACCCTCGATCCTCCTGGCGAGGCCCTCGAATCGCGGCCGGCCCGAGGCTCGCCTGCGCCGCCGCCCTCAGCGCTCTCGGCGCCCTGCTGCCCGGCGGCGCCGCCTTCGGGGGCCCCCGATCGCGCGCCGCGGCGCCCCCGCCGCGCGGCGGGCGAGGGCCGTCGCCGCGGGCGTCGGCGCGGGTGCGGGCGGGCGTGTTCGGGCTGTTCGGGCGCTCGAGGAGGCGTCCTGGATGGTCTGATGCTGCTGATGCTGCCGACGATGGAGGGGCTTGACGATGATGCAGAGGATGAGGGTGATGAGGAGGGTGACGATGCTGGTGGTGGTGGTGGTGGTGGTGATGGTGATGGTGATGGTGATGATGATGATGATGATGATGATGATGATGAAAATTGGTAATACATGTGATGAACGTGATGGTGAGTGATGGCGATGGCGATTGCAGTTGTGATGATAATGATGACAATGCTGATGGTAATGGTGATGGAGATGATGGTGGTGGTGACGGTGGTGGTGGTGGTCATTATGATGATCACTATGATGATGATGATGATGATGATGATGATGATGATGATGATGATGATGATGATGATGATGATGATACTGATGATGAGGTTGATGACGATGCTGATGATGGTGATGATGCTGATGATGATCATGACACCGATGATGCTGATGATGATGCTGGTGATGGTGGCTGTGGTGGTGATGGTGGTGGTGATGTTGATAATGATGATGATGCTGATGGTGATGATGATGGTGATGCTGATGCGCATGATGGTCATATTGATGATAACGACGGTGTCGATTATGCTGTTGTTGTTGCTGCTGCTGCTGATGATGATGATGATGATGATGATGATGATGATGATGATGATAGGGGAGTTGACGATGGTGATGATGCTGCTGCTGCTGATGCTGATGCTGATACTGATGTTGATGCTGATTATGCTGCTGCTGATGATGCTGCTGTCGGTGCTGAGTAGGATGACGAGGTCGACGATGATGACCATGCCCACGACGATACTGCTGGTGATGAGCAGGATGACCTCGACGATAACGAGAACGATGGTGACGATGCTGGTGGTTGGCGTGGTGGTAGTAATGATGATGGTGATGGCTGGGGGCCCACCGCCCCGCCCCGTACGCAGACGTCCCGACGCCTCGAAAGGGCATATCTCGGGGCCGTTGGCGCCTGTCGCCGCTGTTTGGCCCCTGGGAGGCCATCGTCCGGGCCTCGGGGGCTTCCAGGAAACGGCTTCGGGGAAGGGGTCGAGAGGTCCGGGGGCCCTCCCATCAACAGCCGTGCCGTCGGGCCGCTGAGGAGGGAATCCGTTTCGTTGGGGAGGGGCTCCGAGTTCCTTAACTGTTTTGCAGTTTTCCCTTTGGTTTACCGTAGGTTTTCCATGGGAAGATGAAGATTTCTTTATGGGAAAAAGGGGCTCGTTCATTATTTAGGGTTCCTCATGACAGTGTTTCGACTGTAGCCGCCGATTGCAAGCCGCTACCCTCACGTAGCTACCACTGCGCTGCCTCATGCCTTCCTCAAGACTCGTGGCTCGCTCGTCGCTGCTCGCTCTCAGCGAGATCGCAGCGCTACTCGCATCACAGCCCAGCAGGGTACTATCGGATGTCGTTTCAGATTTTGCGAACCACGTAGGAGTTCCGCTGGCATCAGCCAGCTGCCGCTTTTGCCGCTGCCGCTCCCGACTCTCTAGTTTTGTGTTCCTCTCTGCCCAGGGACACTCTGGCATCACGCTCCTCGTGCTGTTTCTCTCCTATGCTGCCATCGCACGCTGTAACAGTCTTGATCACCCTATTGATGTAGCTTGCGTTCCTCTGTCGGTTTTCTTCATTGCTGGGGCGTTCTGTCTCGTATTTTCAGATCCCGTTTCTTCTGTTTCTACACCTGGATGGGCTTTATGGGGCAGAAAAAGCTGCCACCTGCGAGGCGGTACGATCCCGGCATCGTCTTCGGTGAGGCACTCAGCGGTTCCCTAACCATCGGTGTCGTCTCAGCTACGGCGATCGCCAGTTCAGTTCTCTCTCTCCCTCTCACGTTCCCTGCCTGTCTGTCTGACCGTCTGTCTGTCTGTCTGTTTGTTTGTCTGTCTTGTCCGTCGGTCCGTCCGTCCGTCCGCCCGTCCGTCCGTCCGCCCGTTCGCCCGTCCGTCCGTCTATCTGTTTGTTTGTCTGTCTGTCTGTCTGTCTTTCTGTTCCCTCCCTCCCTCCCTCCCTCCCTCCTCAGCCGCCGCCCCGGTTCGAGAGGCTTCGGGCGCCGTACCAGGCACGGCGAACCTCTTTCGGGGCGGGCGGCCACGCGCGCTGGCCCGCGCCCGTGCGGGGCGGACAGGGCCCCGCCGCGCCTAGCCGACGCGCGCCGCCATCGCCGGTGCCTGGTCGGCCCTGGTTCGGCGGCGCGCCGCGGAGCGAGAGCATCACCGGCTCGTCCCCGCGGCCCAAACGCCGAGGCGCTGAGGCCGCGTGGCGCCGCCGAGCCCGCCAGGCCAGGTCGCACGCGCGACTCCTCCTGCGACTGGCATCGGCAGCTCGGCTGCCCAGCGCACATCATAGCTCGGGTCCCGCCATGCAGTACGGCAAGGGTCGTGGCAAAGGCGGCGGCCGTGCAGGAGCATCGGGAGGGAGTTCGTCGAGAATCCAGTCGCCGTGGCACCCAGCAGTACCGCCCCCGCCGCTTGGTTGGTGGTGTGAAGGATGCGGGCAATGCCATCAACCACATGTGCTGCTGTGCCCGACCTGCTACCCAGCCCCAGCGGGCCCTGTGGGTGGCGGGCAAAGCCAGCGGACAGAGAATGACCAACACAAGTCCCCGACCGGCTCTCGTTCCCGTCGAAGATGAAGCTCTCGGCGCCGCAGCAGACGTGATGATGATGAAAACTCGACAGTGCGCAAGCGCTCAGTAGACAGATCGAGTTCGAGACCCCGCGTCAGGTTCGAGGATGAGGCTGACAGTGAGCACGACGGCCATGCCTCGGAGGGTGAAGAGACGGCGCCAGTGGCACTTGGCATTTTGCCAGCCTTGCCGCATGATGCGCGCCGAGACCCCTCCTGGGTGGAGCCGCCGGCCGACGAGCGGGGCCTCCCCGCGCACTGCAAGTCCTTGCGCGCGCTGGCGGCCGCCACAGGCAAGAAGCTCGCAGTCGCCAAGCAGCTCGGGATGTCTCCAGAGGGAGTCGCCCAGCTGGAGACCGAGTGCGGCGTGTAGTTCTGCATGGTGATCGTGGCTCTCAGTCCAGGAGTGCGCTGCGACAGGCAGCGAAGCTATGTCGACAAACTGCAGGCCAAGCTCGGGAAGTCCGAGCTGCATGTGAAGCGCTGCCGGGATCAGCTTGAGGTGGCCGAGGCCAAGCGTGCACAACGTGAGCACGAAGTACAGCGAGCTCAGGAGTTGCTAGCCCAGCTCGAGGAGCTCAGCCTGTCGCAGACATCAGCGTCACATGGATATGAAGATCATATCATGGGTGATACGGGGACTGCGCCACCACCTGCCGCAGCAACACCGCCAGCAGGTCCAGCCGCCATCGCAGAGCTGCGCACGGGCCAGGTCCAGCTTCGTGAACAGCTTGCAGCCCTGACAACGTTGCTCACGACGCTGCAGTCGAACATCGTTGCTGGACGACACGGTGGAGGCGCAGCTGGTGTTCAGTCTGGTGGAGGTGCTGCAGGCGTTCGGCCTTTCGGAGTCCAGGCCCTGCGGCTGGGCCCGCAGGTGGCAGCCGCGGCGCCAGCTCCCCCCCCCGCAGCCGCCGCCGCGGGCCATCAGCAGGCTCCGCCGCCGCGTGCTGCCCCGGGAGGAGCCGCGCCGCCGCCGCCAGCATGCCCCACCCCCCCCGCAGCGGAGGCCAGGGCCGCAGCATCGCCAGCAGCGACGGAGGTGGACTCGGCACCTGATGACGCCGAAGCAGCAGCAGCAGCAACGGCGGCATAAGCAGCAGACGTGCAGCCAGGTGTCAGCTGACGAGAGAGTCGAGATCTTCCGCAGGCAGGCAGCATCTGCGAGGAAGGCCGAAACGGAGTTGGAGAAGTCGCCTCGGCCGCCAGGACAGCCGACGTTGCGAGCATCGCTTGACGCATCCCATCTTGGACGTGGGTGGGTCTTTACCAGGTGAGGGTGTCCCAGTGCCAGTTGAGCGGCGCGAGCTCGAGGGCGAGGCGGGCGTCGAAGTCCCGGAGCCCACGCAGACAGAGGGGCGGAGACTTCGACGTTGTCGGCTCAGCAGCAACGTCGGAGTCGGGGCGGTGTTGATTCGCGGGCCGCCCGTCGAGGAGCTGCAGGCATCCGGCGATCTGCGGCCCGGGCCGCCCGAGGTAGCTGGCGTCGAACATCGCGAGCCAGCCGCGAATCACAGCCCCGCTGGTCATCGGATGGAGTTCGATGATTTTCCAGCTCGCCCACTGGGACCAGTTCCGGACTGTCGCGAGCTCGTGCGCAGGCTAGCCGCAGCCTGGGCCGCAGCCAATTCTCTCACTCCTCTTTTTCTTGGGCCCAAGAGAGGCCCCGAGTTTTGCCTGTTTCATCCGCGCCTTAACGACAGTGCAAGAAAGTTTTTGGAAACAGCCGGAGCTATCCCTATCCCAGCCGAATCAGAAAGCGTGCGTTACGTGATTTACACTGATGTCTCTGGAGGCTTTACACAGGCGGTCTTGGGAGGACCGCCGTCTTGGGCGTGGTGTATGTTTGGATTTGCTGCAGATGGTAAACATCGGTGTGATGGGTACCTCTGTGGGGCAGATTCAGAACTATCCAACTCCGTGCGCAATGTATCAGGCTCAGCAGAATTTCAAGCTGCCCTTTGGCTTGTCTTGTGGTTACTGCAAGCCCCCGAACAATTTCGCGCCAAAACTATTGAGGTCTTTACCGGCAATTCCCTAGTTGTTGCAGCGGCCGCTGGAGGGGCCCCGCTCGGCTCAGGTGGCATGCTTCCTGGATTCTTCGATGGCATATAGGAACTCCGACGTCAGTATGTTCGGTTAGATTGGAGACGCATGTCAGGACACAGTGCCCACCCGCGCAATGAGCTTGCAGATGCCATCGCCGGACTTGCCTCAATGGGGGTCCCGCCGTCGGTTGAGCCGGCCTGTTCAACCGTGGTCAGTACTGTGCGAGTGCGCCGCTGTTGTGCCATGGTTGTGGGTGTCAGCCAGAAGCAACGACGGCGGCCCAGGGTTATGCCCAAGAGTTGGCATGCATGAGCTCCCTTGTCTTGCGCCGTCGCGTTTTGATTTGCGGTCAGCTTTCTCGCCGCCAAAGCAGGGCGACTGCTCGAAGAACGCAGGCGTAATCTGTGGTCCTTCCCATACTGTGCGTCAGATGCGGTTTGCTGTAGCTAACGCCCTCACCCTGCGCCCCCGCAGGAAGCGTGCCAGGGGATTGGGGTCCAGGTTGCGTTGTCGATATCAGGATGCAGCTGGGTCGGACCTGCCTGGGCGGATGCTTGCACAATCGCATCGATTTGCAGCGCGCGGCATGCGCTTAGTTGGAACCTTGGAAACACGCATGCCACGCAACACGTGGACACCAGCCGGACAGTGCATTGTTGTTACAGCGGCTGCAGAGACGAAAGGGGTTGGAGGTGTGGCGTTGTGTGTAAATGTTGAGCTACCGTATGTTGGAACGCGTGCAATTGCGCGCAGACACATCCGTGTTTTGTCGTGCTCTTCTCGCCGTCTCTTGGTGGCACCTGGCATGTGCGTCGGCGCGCCCGTGTGTCATGCACCGCGCTCGCGGCGAGATGAGACGGATATTTCAGCATGGTGGGGTGGGATTGGGCGACGCTTGGCATGCAGCGCGCAGCCTGCTCCTCTCTATTGCATGCTCGATGCCAACGCTACAGTCGGATCCCAACAGTCAGTGCATATTGGTGGTCTGGCGCCGGAGGGGGAAAATCAGGCTGGCCAAAGATTCCGCGAGCTTCTCAGGCGAACACATCAAGCGGCCCCTGGTGCTTTCATGGAATCCTACACTTGTGTTTATGGGGCCTGGATGCCACCTGGGATTTCTCAGGGTGCACCGCGACGCCGCATGGGCTATATCACCGCGCCGCTCGACTGTGTGACAGCCGTGGTACAGTACGGCGTTGATATCAATCTGGACCTGTCGTTAAGACAGGACGACCGTTTTGTTGTTGCAGCGGATAGCTGCATCGCCTCAGCCACCGACGCCCCCGAAGCTACGCACTGGCCCAGACTGCAAATGGACCCGCTCAACTCACGGACCCTGTCTACCAGGACTTATTTGTGTGCTGATGCCCTCAAAGCGGCCCCGCAGCCAAGCTGCAGCACTCATCCAGAGGAACGTGCCCAATTCCTCAACCAACGCCTTCTCCAAGCAGGATCAGAGGCGTTCCCTGTCGCCGAATCGGATACCAGACGACAAGGGCGGCGCACTTGGATATCCGAAGGTTCTCTCGCCCATATGGACAACAGGACTGTCGGCGTACGTGCTCTCCGACAGATGCATATACGGCTGTCCCAACTACTGCTAGTAGGTTTTTTTTTTTTTTTTTTTTTTTTTTTTTTTTTTTTTTTTTTTTTTTTTTTTTTTTTTTTTTTTTTTTTTTTTTTTTCACGGCGTGGGCGTCGACACTGCCTCGTGGGGATTGGTTCTGCTATCGCACGTTGCGTTGGCGTCGTACATGCAGGGGCGGGCCATCCCAGCTGGCAGTCATGCGTACCCGCCGAAGCGTTATCTACGCCAGTGCGCAAGCCATGCAAGCCGCCGCGCTATTTACGACGCCCCTACATAACCTAGAAGGCCACCACGCCACGCCGCCATTTTCACTCGACCTCGTCGAAAAGTTACGATTATTTTGTGAGTTGCCCAACCCTGAGGAGCTCCAAAACATACCCCAAGGCCACATCATTCAGATATCTGTCGTGCTAGATGTGCCACGCGCCTGGCAAGGTTTCTGTTGGGCGTTCGGGGCCATTTTCATTGCGATTGGCTACGTGCGTTACACGACAATCAACGGGTCTGGATGCAGCGTGGCACTGCGCGCGCATTGCGATGGAGGTACAATCCACGTGGGATAGGAGACAGTTTGCTGAGGCGTACAAAGCCTTCAGAAGGATTGGAGCTGGCCCCGCGCGTCGCCGCATGGAGAGATCGCTACCAGCCCTTCATGATGCTGCTGGCCGAGCCATCGCAGACGCCCCCACGGTCGCTATACGTTGGCGACAACACTTCGCCAGCTTAGGGCTAGCTGCCACCCTACCACTGCAAGACGTACCACATTTCCAAGATTATTTCCACCGCAAGCCCTACGGTGGAGTCGGAGTCGGCCTAGTTAGCTTAGCTACTATCACGACGTTGGCTCAGTTCCAGACGCCATGCCGTCGGGCGCGTGATTCGGCCCCAGGATGCGATGGAATACCCGGTGCGTTACTAAAAGCGAATCCTACCACGATTGCCGACTGCGATTATCCACTACAGCTCAAGCTTTCCCCGTCCCTACTGGGGCCTGTGCAGTGGGAAGGAGGTTTGTATCGAGCGTAGATCAAGTCTGGTCAGCCCGATCCAACCAAGTGCGCCAGTTCACGATCAATATCGGCATCATCCCAAGTAGGCAAAGCCTCGAGAAGATGCTTCAGAAAAGCCCTCCTGCCACAGCTTTGCGTTGATGCTGGAGAAACACAGTTTTGGGGACTGCCAGGACGGGGTACTGCGCGCGCGTCCCTGTTGGTAAGAGTTGCTCAGTCAATTGCCGAGGCCCGACGATTATCCTTTGGTGCGTTATTTGCGGACGGTCTACCAGCTTTCTACAGAGCCATCCGTGAGCTTGTTATTCAAGCCCATCGAGATACCGACATGGATGATGGAACCGTCGCAGCTTTGGTTCGGGCCTCGGGACTCCCACCGAGTACGATGACGGAACTGGAGCGTAGGCTACGTGAATACACGTCACGGCTACGATTGCACGACAGCCAGGTCGACCCCCATACATTGGCGCAGGTGGAGCAATGGTATTAGGCGCCGTGGTTTGCGCGCGAAGGTTCCGACCAGGTTTCCTCGCCCCAGCGGTTCTTTTTTTCCAGGCCAGCCCCTCGCAGGCGTTCTCCTCGAGTTGCACATGGCCGAATGTATGACCGAGATCCGTGAGCGACTTAAGGGTGAAGGCCTTCTCGTGGAATTTCCAACGGCCTACGGTCGCAGAGTCACAGCCCTGCTAGACAGACAACAGCAGCCCGACATTGTTACCAGCCTGGTGGATGTGTCGCACGCAGATGACGGTTTACTAATTTTCATACTACCTGATGTCGTTAGCATTGGGAGTTGTGACGGATGCCTTTGCGAAGCGTGGGCACAAGCTAAATGTTGGCACAGCAAAGACAGCAGCTATGATCATGCGGAAAGGGCATGGCATGGAGCGCGCACGGCACGCCGCATGGCGCGAGCATGGTGGGCGCATACAGTGCACGTCAGGCATGCTTGGTGCTCAGTGCCCCTATTGTGCATCACTGCGTGCACCTTGGTTCTGTTATTGACGCCGGCGGTTCGCTCATCCCGGAGATCAGGTACCGTGCCACATGTATTGTTTCTTCGCTTCAAGTTTTGCGAAGATGAGCCTTCCAGACTAGCGCGGTGCACCCACAGGTGGGCATGACATTAGCAGACAGTCTACCACTGTCAGGGAGAATGCGCAGTGCAGGCGCATGGACACGACTCACTACAGGTGAAGCCAAGCTTCTACACGGTGAAGTCATGAACGCGTACAGAGCAGCAGCACGCGTACGTTTGCAGGAAGCGCGTTCACAGGTGTCTGATGCGCGTGCGTTTGTGCAGTTGTGACGTGGATTTCGCCTGAGGAGCGAGGGGCCCTATCCCCGCTCTCCCCTTGCATGCTTCCCTCCACCCTCTCATCCAACAGCGTGCTCTTTGAGTTTCAGTGCATGTGTCTCTTCACTTTCAGATGCCACGCTTGAATTGCTGTCGGTGGCCGCTTGAAAAGGGGGCCCCTCTCTGCCCGCCCTGACATGCACTTGCATTTCGAACAGGTGCTCCGTTGCATTGACGCTTCCTTCTTTGCAGCGGTGTGACGACAAGAAGGGTCTCACGCTCGGCCCAGTCGGGCTTGCGGCCAGGGGTCCACGCGAGGTCAGCCGGACTTAATCGCACACCCGTAGCGTGCCACACGTGTGACCCCGAGTTTCTGTTCATTTGCTGCCCGCCAACCAAGCGCTGACGGACATTCACCGTTGCCGCCTGCGTTGTTGCTCTCTCTTCTGTCCTTTTGTTGCCTCCTCTATGCAGCGCTGCTCTTAGTTAGAGATCAGGAGATCAGGAGACAGGTGATCAGGGGCCATTTTGGCAACACTATGTTGATAACTGCGCCTCGCCTTCCGGTCCCATCGCATTGC